AACTGAAGCTGGGGCCAGGGCCAGGGCCAGGGCCAGGGCAAGGGCACGCCAGCAAAGGCAGCGGGTTTGCAGTCACGGGCTCAGCTGGCCTCAGCTCTGCCTGGATCCACTGCAAAGCCCAGATGGGTCGCAAGCCCTGACCCACCCCCGGCAGGCTGCTGTGCAGGTCTGGGAATGGGGTGATTTTCTGGGGAGCCTGAACCCCAGTTCTCATGTCGCGTTTCCCCTGGCCCTGCAGGCAGGGAGTCCTGGGGGCTGCACTGCCCCGGGGCGCGTGTGCTTGGGGCTGAGGTTTCCAGCCTGGCTCTGGAAATGCTCGGGGCTGGCATTGGCGCTTCAGTAGCACCAGCCTCTGCCAGCTGCCCTGGTCTCCGGCTCTCGGCACCGCTGGTCCAGTCTACGGCTCTTCCAGGCTGTCTGGGCACAGCTGAGCTGGGAGCATCAAAGCCCCCGGCCATCCCTGTGAGCATCAGGCTTCAGAGGGACGGGGACAGGGGATGCCTGTGACCCTCCTCCCTGCTGCCAGGTGCCTCCAGAGGCTTTGAGCAGGGCACAGACCGCGGGTGGCCATCTGGGCACCCCTTGCCATGCTCTGCCGGGGCTCTGGGCAGGCGCCAGCTATGGCACTGCTGCAGGTCTTGTTCTGGGGCCCTGGCAAAGCCCCTGCCATGTGGATGTGCCCCACAATCGCACCCCAGGGCCCAGGTTTCAGGAGCGCCCATCACACTGGCCATGACAGTCCTTGGGGCAGGGGCAGGGTGTTTTCAGGTGACCTCCTGAAATCAGCTAGGGCATGCAGCACCCCCAGGGCCTGCCGCGGCCCATCTCAGCTGCGCCGGTCTCACCGGGCCACGTGTTTGCTCCCAGTCATGTTCTGGCGGTCGCAGACCGGCATCGTGCACAAGGAGCCGGTCGAGGTCTGCAAGGACAATGCTGCGCGCTGCGACGGGGTGGTCGAGTGCTCCCAGAAATCGGATGAGCTGGACTGCGGTAACATCCTGGGGTCTGGTCTCCCGTGGGCAAGGGGGTGGGGACTTGTGCCACTGGCCTCAGACCTGCTCTGAGCCCCATCCCAGGGCCTTTCACTCTGGCACCCCTGAGATGGCCTGAGTGCAAGCAGGCATGAGGCTGCTGCCTCTGCTACTGTCTGGGGTTGGCTGGCGCTGCCCGTCTGGTCTTGGGGGTATCAGGAGCTGGGGTTACCTAAGGGGCTCGGCAGGGGTTTGGGCACAGCCCAGTCCAGCACTGGCGCGGTCGGCCCAGACACCCCGCGTGGGTGCAGGAGGGCACGGCCGGGGCACCTGTGGCAGCTCCTGCTCTCGGTGCCTCGTGGCTGTGGCACCTGTGGCAGCTCCTGCTCTCGGTGCCTCGTGCCCGCAGTGCGGTTCGGCTGGGACCAGTCCCTGCTCCATGTCTACTCTGGTGCCCAGAGCCAGTGGCTCCCCGTGTGCAGCAGCACCTGGAACGACTCCTTCTCCCGCAAGACCTGCAAGCAGCTGGGATACCAGAAGTAATTCCCGGGGGACGGGGGCACTCGGGCTGGTCGTGCTCTGGGCTCTTGGACGGGGAGGCTGGGCTGGGATCGGCGGGAGTGGGGCAGGCCCCCTCATCCGGCCCCAGGACTCAGCCCCTCTGTCTCCTTCCAGCATGTTTCTCACGGAGTTCATCCCGCTACGCTTCTCAGGCAAGAGCCTCTCGGTGACCGCGGACCATCGCACCATCCAGCAGAGCCTCAACAGGTACAAGAGGGGCCACCCTTCCCCTCGGCTCTGCCTGTGGCACTGGTGCCAGCCCCCCAGGCCCCAGGCTACCTGTGTCTGCCCAGGAAAAGCCCTGTCTGAACGGCAGCCCCTGCCCAGGTCGTCCAGGGGGACAGCGCAAAGTGTGGGTGATGCTCTGCTCACACGGCGCTGCAGAGACAGCCCCGGGCAGGCTCCCAGGTGAGGTGGCTGCAGTCGTGTGCAAGGCCATGGGCACTGCCCAGCTCCTCGGGCCTTTCCCACTTGTCCTTATGCAGCGGAGCAGGGAGGTGGGCCCCGCACAGCAGGTTTGGGAGAGTGGGGTGGGGAGAGGAGCCCGGCACACCACGGTTTGCTCCTGACCCGCTCTCCAGCGCAGTCCCAGTGTGAAGGCTCGTGCAGCGCGGAGCTGACCTGTCCTTGGGGGAAGCGTGTGCACATCGTGCGCCCCCGGAGAGGCAGATCCGCAGCCCTGCTCCTGCTGCGAGGGGGCCCGAGGCACCTTAGTGTGGCCAGCTCTGCCTCATGCAAGCTGTGAGAACCAGGAGAGGCTTCAGCACAGAGCCACGGGCTGCCTGCCCTCGCGGGCACGTGCCTGGCCAGAGCCGGCCTCAAGGAGAGACCTGAAGGGCGGTATCAGGATACAAATGAGGAGGCCGAGGGGAGACAGGCCGGGTACCCGGGGACAGAGCGCAGCTTCACCTCTCTGTTTTGTTCCCTTGTGCAGCTCCAGTTGCTCCACGGGAAAATACGTCTCCCTGCGTTGCACAAGTAAGGGGAAAGCTTTACCACGCAGGTGGGCAGGGCAGAGCTGGGCTGTCAGCAGCGCTGGGTCTGGAGCAGGCTAGCTGCACCCACCCGGGGTGCCAAGCGGGGCATGGCATTTGTTACGGGGCTCATTGCATTTTCCCTGCACCTGGGTAAAAAATTAAGACCCTTCCCATCCACATACCCACAGCTTCTCATTGAAATGCTCAGTTTTCAATGAAAAAGGAATAAAAAACCACAGGTTTTTGACTCCTTTGCCTTGCTTCTTTGGTCCTTCCCTTCGAGTGACTCCCCCAGCTCTAGCACTGGAACAAGGTGCTATTCTGATGTGCTCTGCTGGGACTGCGGGATCGACGCATATCTGGGGCTTTGCGGTGCCCGTCGCCGGTGCATCAGCAGCGGTGCCAGTGGGTGCAGTTCTTGAGGCACTACCAGGCTCTGCTTTTGCTCTGTGTCGGGCTGGGGCAGGCTGTGGGGCTGGCATTGCTGCTCTCATCCAGCAGCTCACGTGCAGCACACTTGCACCTGTGAATCTCTGCGACCCTGTGCCACGCACATGAGCCAGATCCAGTTCTTTGGCTGAGATGCCAGTGAACCACGTAGCCTTTTGGGACAAATGCACCCCCTCCTCGGGCCCTGGGCGAGGGTGCTGAGCCTCCGGGAGAGCTCAGCGAGTTGCTTCCCCCCAGGCTGTGGGCAGAGGACATCTAGCCGGATCGTCGGTGGGACGGAGGCTCCAGTGAACAGGTGGCCCTGGCAAGCTAGTCTCCAGTATGGGCCAGTCCACATCTGCGGGGGCACAATCATCGATGCCCAGTGGGTGCTCACAGCCGCCCACTGCTTCTTCATGTAAGTGCAGGCCGGAGCAGAGAGCGGGGGGCAGCGGGCCTGACCAGAGCCACGTCCCTGCCCCGTGGCTGCTCCAGGGAGAGGGCAGGGGCACAGCGGTGCCCATACAGGTGTTGGGGGAACGGCTACTTCGCTCTGGGGACTGTGTGCGGTAGAGGAGGGCACCTGGCTGTTCCTCTCTCCTGGTATCCAGGCTCCCCGAGAGCACCGCGCTGCTGGGGGCTGGCCGGGGGCCGCGGGAAGCTGGTGGGGTACTCGTGCAGGCAACAGCGTGCGCCCTGCCCAGCCTGGCCTGCCCTTAGCATGCACGTGCTGGGCACGGGCCTTGGGCACGGAGCTGGCACAACGGTAGCAGGCTCCGGACCTCGCTGAGAGCGGTCTGGCTGATGCCGGCCAGGCTCAGCTGTTGGCTTCATGTTTCTCCCCTTCTCCTCAGGAACAGTGTCAAGATCCTGGATGACTGGAAGGTGTACGTGGGGTCCTCCGACCTGCGGCAGCGCACCGAGGGCATCTCGGTCTCCCGCATCATCATCAACGCCAACTACAGTGACGATCAGGACGACTATGACATCGCCTTGATGAAGCTCTCCAGGCCCTTGACGCTCTCTGGTGAGGCTCTGCCGGCCGTCCGGTGCGTGGGGCTGCAGGGCCTGCGCTTCTGCTTGGCTCCGGGGAAAGGTGGTCACCGTCTGGATGCTTCCCCTCGCTCCTCTGCCCTTGCTCGCTCTCACTGCCGTTTCCCTGCAGCCAACGTCCGCCCCGCCTGCCTCCCCATGTACGGGCAGAAGTTCCTGACCAGCAGGTCGTGCTTCATCACTGGCTTTGGAAAGATCAAGGAGACTGAAGGTGAGAGGTGCCCGGCCAGCTGGCCGAGCCGGGGAGCAGTCGCGTTGGCTGCTGCAGCTCCGGATGCACAAGGGAAAGCCCCAGGAGGCACCCACGTACGCAGGGTGGGGGGCAGAGGGGAGGCCCAAACCTTCCTTCTGGCCAGGGGCTCCCCATGCCTCCTGGCAGTGCCCGCAGGATGGAGCCACCAGCAACCAGGACCATAATGCGACTCGAGTCTGCAGAGCCGGGAGGAAGGCAAAAGCCCTGTGGCCTGGGGGGATGCTGGCTTCCTCGTAGGACAGTCCTCTGCCCACAGCAGCCCCTCAGAGCAATCCCCCAGCACTGTGGGGCTGGGCCGTGCCCTCCGGTCACCCCCTCCTCTCGCACCCGCAGAGAACACCACCCCAAAGCTGCGGGAGGCCGAGGTGAAGCTGATTGACTACCGGATCTGCAACAGCAACGATGTCTACGAGGGCTACCTGACCCCCCGGATGATGTGCGCCGGCTACCTGGAGGGCGGGCGGGACTCCTGCCAGGTGAGCCCGTCCCTCCGGGGCAGCCAGGTGCTGGGTGGAGTGGCAGGCACCCGCGGTTGGAGAAGGGGCGATGCCGGTTGGGCCGGGGCCGCACCGAGGAGCAGCCCTGTCTCCCTGCCACGTCTCGGGGTGGGTCACTCTCATGGCCTCCCTGACTCTGCCTTTTGCCCCAGGGTGACAGCGGCGGGCCCCTGGTCTGTGAGGACAACGGCCGATGGTACCTGGCCGGGGTGACGAGCTGGGGCACGGGGTGCGGCCAGCCGAACAAACCCGGGGTCTACACACAAGTCACAAAGTTCCTCAGCTGGATTCAAAGCAAGATGGAGGTGAGGCGTGCACGGCGGGGCAGGACGGCACCGGGCCTCGAGGCCCTGGCCACCACAGCCATTGCCAGCTCAAGGCTTCGAGGGCTCTGGGCACGGTGGTGAAGGGTCTGCAGGCTGCAGCGGTGACCGTGCCAGGCCTGCCTGTGGGAGCTCTTGGCAGGATGGTGCTGGGGGCTGGCATGCCTCACGTGCCGGCTCTCTCCTGTGCTGCGGGAACGTGTGTCGTGTGCCTTGTTTCAGCACCAGCCTTGTGGTCACAGGGTCCAGCCCTGCCCCAGCCGACCTGCCCCTGTGAAGCAGCTGCTTGTTACCCCCATGGGCTCAGGGGCAGGCCTTTCCCCGCAGACGGCAGGAGCTCTGCCCTGCCTGCTGTGTGCAGTGGCTGCAGGTGCCTTGCTGGTCCTGGGGCTTTGCGGAACCGCCCTTTCCTCTGGTGGCTGCTGTGCCAGTGCTGCTCCCTGTGTGCAGGGCTATGTGCAGCCCCCTGCACGGCCGTCACTGGGAACGGAGCTTCCCCCCGGCCCTGAGCGCGACCCGCGGAGCTCGGCTGCACTTCGCAGCTTTGCCTGCAGCTCAGGGCCGGGCCCATGCGGGAGATGCTTCAACTTGTCCTGCCTAACCCTGCTCCCTTCCCTTTTTGCAGAGCGAGAGCAACTGAGGACAGGGCAGGCCCTGCTCAGGCTCCTGCGACGGCGGGCCCACTGCACTGCCCTGCTCGCGTGGGGAGACTGCCGGTGGATTAGAGACCAGCCGCCCCGTCTGGACTTCCCCAAAGACTTAATGGCCCGCAGCTGCCCTGGTTCTTTGCAAGCGCAGCACGGGTAGACCTCCAAAGTCAATTAACTCGCTCAATAATTGAGCTGGGAAATGCAAGCTGGCGATCGGGGAAGCAGCCTAGCCGTGGGCTTGCCGGCGTGTGAAATGCTGTTCCCAGGGACACGGTGGAAGCCCCTTCCCTCCAGACTCTTACAACTGGACTTGACGCAGCATTTGGAAATCCCCTGCAGGGAAGACCTCATAGGTCCTTTCTGTCTCTGAATTATATGACCATGAGATAGGAGCGTCAGGGCTGTGTCCTGCCAGTGCTTGGTATCAGAGCGGGGTGGAGGGGGCGGCTGTGCGACGGGGACACGGGCTCAGGCTGGAGAGGCAAGTCGGAGCAGCTCCCGGTGCTGGGGTGCAGCCCTGGGCTTTGTGTCCTGGATGCTGGGTCCATCCTCGCTGCCAAGGCAGCCGGGGAGCGGGACACAGGCACAGGTGGTGCAGAGCAGGTGAGTGAGTGCCCAGGCCTTGGGCGTAGCCAGGAAGCTGCCCTTGGCCATGTGGCTCGCACTTATCTCCTCGTGCCCGACTGGAGCCAGGGGCGTCCTGAGCTCTCGCGGTTGCAGATAGGAAGGGTGTAGTGGGCAGTCTGTAAACGTGTCAGTTCAAAGCCCCTATTTCCCACGCGTGCCCGGGGCGGTGTGGTGTACATTTCAGTGACGCTGCTCTGGCACGGCCGCAGGGCTGCGCAGACGGGCAGGACCGTGGGCCCCTGCCAGCTGGAGGAGGTTGCAGGAGCCTGGGAGCAGAGGGAAGGAAGGACGGTCGAGCGCGAGGAGGACCCTGCACGTGAACGCTGTGCAAGGGGGCCGTGCTACGGACTGGCGGGCAGGGGCAGCTCGGGGTCCGTGATCTGGCTTAAGCACGAGGACTTGAAAGCACTAAATGTCGCCCTGGTTTTTTGTCATCTTCTGGCTTTGGAGCATCCGAGCATCTCGTGTCTGAGCTATGCCCGGAGACCTGCCCCTCCCTCCTGCCGTGCCAAGGCCTGCGGGCCAGGGTCTCGCGCAGGAAACGCTAACGACTGCCAGGCTCAGGGTGTCGGAGCGCTGGGCCCCGGGGCCAGAGAGCTGGTGTCACGGGAGGGGAACGCAGAGGACAGGGGGAAAGTTGGCTGCAGGGGCCACGTCTAGAAAAGCACTTGGTGCCCAGGAGCGTAGGGGAGCAGAGCGTCTCCCTTTGTGCAGAGCGAGTCCTTTGCACACCCGTGCGCTGCAGCGGAGAAGCGCCGAGCGAACGGGAAACGCCTCCGATGCTCTCGCTGAGTCCAGAGCGCGTCTTGCCTGAGCAAGAAGCACCTGACCGGCTGGATCCCGGCAGTGCCGACAGGAGCAAACCCAGGGAGAGCGCGGGGTGACTCGACCCCTCCTGGGACCGGCTGTCTGCGGCTGACGACATGCGGCGTGTTACCACCACGCGCGGGCCCTCTGGCGACTGCAGCCCCCGCAGCAGCTGCACGGCTGCCGGCTTGCGTTCGGAGTTGCTCCAGGACTGCTCTTCAGCTCCATTTCCTGTGCAAGGTTGGCATCTAACACATAATTATGCACTGCGGGGATGGCTGCACCGAGGCGCTGGGCAAGACTCGGGCCAGGCCACGGTGCACAGGCCCTCCTGCCTTCCTGGTGCTCGCCAGTGCCGGTTGGACCGTGCGCAGCTGTTTTCTGCGCCGCGTGTGTGTAACGTCTTTGAACAATGGCACTATTGTGGCTCCACGGTGAGGTTTTTCTTCTGCTCTCACTTACACGGGGAGGCCTATTGTGAGTGCCTGAGCCGCGCGGCGTTGGGAAACGATGCATAAACAAGGAGTGCAATTAAAAGGTCAGCGATGGGGCCTGGCCAAGGGAGCGCCTTGTCCATTTGTTCTAACCCTTGCAGAGTTGTTCTCAGCTCTCGGTTTTATAGCTCCCCTTCGTCGTGTTCATCCCCATCCGTGACACAATCACCGGGAGCCCCCTGCCTCCGCGCCGGCGGGATGTGAGTGCAGGGGCTTCTGCCCGAGTGACCGAGGATTTGACATTTGATTTCTGCACGGCTGAGGCTGGCAGCCCGTAGCAGAGTTCCCACCCCGTCAGCCAGGCAGGTACTTTGGAGCTGGGCAAGGCTCCTGTGGGCTGTGTGCCTTGCTCTTCTCCGCCGCTATCCAGGCTCCAGCTGCAGCTGCTGCAGCTCAGGCCCTCTGCACATCAGGACCCGTACGCGCTTCCTCGCCTTTCCCTGGGTCGGACAGGAAGACGGTGTCCCCAGGATGGCCTGCACAGGCGTACCAGGATGTGCTCATATGCGTGCAGGTGATCTCCCACGCTGGGTGTGAGCAGGACTCGGTGACGACCCGCACATTTCTTGCAGCAATCTGAAAGCCCCTTCCCTGCAGAGCTGCCCCCTGCCAGGGCAGTTACCTCCCATTAAGGACAGGGCTGCAAATGTGTGCGTGGCCCTGGCTTTGCCTGGGAAGAAGGAAAGGCGACGTGTAGTTGCCTGCGTGCAGCCCATCTCGGCCTGCCTTCTCCCTGCTGGAGACATTCAAGGGGGAGCCGGCGTGCTTGGAAGCTCGCTGCTTCCTTTGGAGCAGATGGAAGTGCTCTCCCATGTCGCAGCAAAGCTGCCGTGGTCTCCTCTTGCTCTGTGCTGTGGCCGGCAGGAGAGGGCGGCCATGCATCCTGTTCCCCAGCGGTGGGAGCTGTCGTACACTGTAGGGCTGGAGAGCGAAGCCCTTGAGGCCTGCTGCGTGCCTCTTCCCTGCCTCCACCCCGGCGCTGCCTTCCTGGCCTGCTGCAGCCCCGAGCTCGCAGGCAGCGTGCAAGAAACGGGTGGAAAAAGACGGGGGTGGGGAGGAAGTCGAGGGCGGGGAAGCTGGACCATCTGGACTGTCTGTTGCACAAGCAACAGGTCTGCGGTGACGTGAACAGACCACAAAACACAGCCGTCCCTGCTGGCCGCATTGGCTCTGCTGCAGGGCGCAGTTTCCTGCAGGCGCAGGTGTGCTGCAGAGGGGCCTGCGGGTAGGGTGGCTGCACAGGGCAGAGGTCGGGGGCTCTCTGCGCGGGGGCAGGCCGCCTGGCAGGTGCCTGTGGGAGGTGGAAAAGGGCTGGGGTGTGCAGAGATGGGCGGGTGGTACGCAGTGGGCTGCATGAGCAGAGAGGTCAGCCTGGGCAGGGGCTGGATCCCTGGGGTGGGACGCTGAGGAGACGCGTGCAGGGGAGGCAAGGCCTGGAGAAGACACGTGTGCTCAAACAGCGTTAATGAGGTCAGTCACCAAAAGGGAGAGGTGCCCTGGGCAGACCCCTGGAGCAGGGGAGGCAGGCTTGGGAGCGAGCGCTCCTCCCGCCGCAGGCTGCCGGGTTGCATGTGCTCAGGGGCGTGTGTGCGCACAGAGGGGCACAGCCCTTCGCCCCGTGGCTGGATAGGAGCCGACCAAAGTGCAAAGCCTGGCACCCCGTGCCCTCCTTGCAGCAGGGCCCAGTGAGGGCAGTGAGGCATGACACACGGCAGGGACAGGCGCCACATTCCCGCTGGCCCGGCATAGGTGCGAGGGGGCTGGCTCTGCCCCTGCCCCGGGGATGCAGGGCCATGGCAGCGCACAACCCTGGGGAGCAGCTTTGCTGTCAGCTTGCATGGCCCCTGGCAGCACTTGCATGAGGGAGGGAGGGTTCATGCTGTGGCAGAAATGCCCCCGTCGGTGCCCCTCTCCCGAGATCTGTCTCCACCAGCCTGAGAGGCGGCCGTTGAATCTCTCACAGCGGGGATCTCGCTCCTTGTCTGCAGACAAAAGCCTGGCGCCTGGGAGGCGATGCTCTGGTCACCTGGGCAGGGGGGGGAAGACCCGGCCCTGTGCGCGGGCCCAGGTAGCCAGGGATGCTTTGCAGATTGGTCGGTTTGTAGCCA